AGTAATAGTAATAAATCACACAGCAATAGTACACTCACGCTGTTGTAAAAAGCATGATAATATATTAAGTAATCCAAAGTATTCAGAATACGTTACTGTCATTGAGTAACGTAACGGAATACATTACAGAATACATTTTGGGGCATGTATTCTGTATTCTGTAATGGAATACATTTTAAAAGTAACCTTCCCAACACTACCTGCTAGCAGTATAATACTATATACAGTTCCACAGTAATTCTTTTAAAAAGTGTTGGTGGGACTGTAGACTTCAGAGAGACCTCAAGCACTTATTGCTTGAACATTGGGTTAAAGGTAATGTCTATGTCAAAACCCACGTGTCTATATTGATGGACCAGGAATAGACTCGCCTTCTCACTCTATAGAGATCAGTCGATACAACTTTGTGTGAAGATGATTCTGCGATGGGTCTCATTAAAAAGCTCACTGGCTTTGGCCCAAACACTGTCCTATTTGCATTCCTCATAGGCAAGCTGTCCAATATTATCTCTACTCACTCCATCACAGGCCCCTGAAACCACAAAGGACTTGCTGTGTTGGCTTCTTCCCACATCATATTTGCCGGAGAGGAGAGTCCAGACAGACTCCCCTCTCTAATAATGCTGACGCCACACCAAAGGATGCACCTGCAGTCAACAGGTGTTTTTGTCCTCAGCCTGCGAGGAGCCTTCCTTTATTCTGAGGAAAGCTTCTGAGGTCCTGCCAGTGTGCTGTGTCTATATATATTCACATTTTCCGTGAAGCCTCAAAGGTGGATCTTTCTCTGGAAGCGATTCAGATGTGAATTCTTTTCATTGTTTGAAGTGGAAGTTTTTAAAGATTTTTTTAAAATAACTGAAGCAAGCGAGTGCATGCTGATATACATGACAGATTGGTTAATCTGAATTAATAACCTCCCTCTCCTCCTTCAGCTCATGTATCAAGCTACAAAACTAAACCTGTGATATCAGTCTAAGAAAGCCATACAGTGCCATGTCTGGAAATCTGCAGGTGTGAAATTTTACATCTCAGACAAACAAAACAAAAGTGTCTGTGTGGGGGATCCAGGCTGACCTGCTGCAGTGGGAGGAGACGGCCTCTGCAGCGTAACATTACTGTGTGGAGTTGGAGGGTTGTTTGAGGGAAGATAAGAGATTGTGGGATCAGTGTGCTGTTAAATGTATCTGCCAGAGCCAGCAGAGGAGCTACAGCAATGCAGTGACTCTGCCAACATTCCTGGGGATCAACACGAGCTAAATGCTCCCACCTCTCTCCTCCACGGCCAGAAGTTAAAGAAAACCTGATAGATGGAGCTCACTGGAGCTTCCAGCACACTAAACTGTCTTCTTATGTCTTCTTATTGCTTTTTTAAAAATCAGGTTACTGTCCAAAAATAAAAAACTAACCTCTGTTGATGGAAAATACTTACACTGCAAAAAATGCCCCTGATAAAGAACAATACTGGCAGGAAAACACATCACAAAAATGGTATTATAGGCCTATTCTATGAATGAATATGGACTATACTTCATGATGCTGTCTGTTTGGTTGGTATTAAGTGTATTGATGTAATCTCCACAAAGTTTATTACTGTAAAATATAATCGCACACCCTCCCCCTGTACTCAGCAACTGTTGCCCATTAATTGCATTGCAAGGGGACAGAAGTCTGAATGTATTCATTGCAAATGTCATTCACATTGGCAGCTATACTTTAACACTGCTCTTGGTCACACAAACAGTGCAAACTGCATCACACTTCCACAACAAAGTCTACATATATTGTATTTTTAAAAAGTACAGTAGTTTGCTCTTATTTTCTTTTACCATAAAGGCCACCAATCTTGCAGTATAGCAGATTATTTTAGAAAACGTCCTGGGTTTTTTGTAGCAATTTGTTACATTGTTAGTACTTTTACTCATGTACTTCTACACCACTAAAGCTCAAAGAGCAACATTATTTCTCTCATTTCTGTCTCTCTCTTTGGTCCATTAAGATTTATTTAAGATTTGCCACACAAACATGACGATAAGAAATAATAACATGCATTTTCCCACAATTATTACACTTGCTTTTTATGTTTTGACTGAATCAAATCACTAGTCACAGCAGCAGGCGCTTATGTCTGTATGTCTGAAAACATGCATGCATGCCCCAACACCCAGCGTCACCAGCTGAAGGCTGTCTAGTCCTTTCGATAGAGGAAGAACCTTAAAAGGATAAAGTAGTCACTTTTTATTCTGTGCTCCTATCACAAAATAATGTAAACAATCAAGTGACATCAGGCCTAGGGCGACCCCTATAAGGCTGAGTGAGGATTTGTAAAGTTACGACTACATCTAGTGGTTAGAACTGGAAATCCTTGGGACCATTTCTGTCTACTGAGCACCTCTCTCACACAAATACATGTTATCGCGCAAACACTGAATATAGCTTGTATTTTAGAATCCAGAATAGATGACAGTCAACCAGCGAGAGCATTAATAATCTGTACGTCGGCTCACAGGTGCACGGAGACAAAGACCAGAGAGCTGTCATATGCACCGACAGATGTAGTGAGCGCTGGCACTGACTAGAGGGCATAATGTCTGCATTAGATGACAAGTTCCTCTCCACACCTGAGCCAGCATGCAATTCAATACCCTTCAGTCATCACCAGGCTTCTAATTTAGAACGTATCGACTAGTGTTCAGTAGAGCACAAGCACTCGCAGACATTCATGTCCTCCAGCTGTGAGAAATTCTTGTCTAATCTACTATCACAGCAGCTCCTTGAGAAATGCGAACAGCAAGGCGATTGTGTCGAGGTATGTTTCACTGGCTGTGGAATATGATTTTTGTGGTCGTATGCGATTTTTCTGAAGGGCTGCTGCTGCGTTACAAGGTGCATTTGATCTTCATGTAACTGCTGCCAAGGGGATGTAAAACATTAAAGGTCATCCGAAAACCAGGGACACAAAACTTGGGGAGGGGGTGGGGTAGGAGGGCTGATGGTCGGGATGACGGAGTGAACAAATAGGTGTGAGCCTACAGCATGCCTCCACACTGACACAGATGCAGCAAATGCTATCTAAGTGACGGCACTGAGGTTAAAGTTAAATACAATCTTTATTGGGTTTGTAGACATTTCCCAAAGGTATAATCCAATAAACAGCAACACAGGCATTTACAATTCAAGGACAAATAATTCACTTTCACAATAACAAATTGAAAGAGTTTTGCCTCTTGCAGATACTTTTCACCAGCAGTGCCTTTGAATCGAAACGACCAAAGAAAGTGCTCAACTCAGCAACATATCACATAATAGTTTAAATAAACTATTGGTTAAGCCGTGACACTAGGTCATAATGACGGTGTGTTGATTCACAGTCTGATTTCCTTTGCCACACTTCCTGTATATTCAGAACTAAACATTTTACATCGTTTTCAATGAACCAAACACTATGTTAACACTTTGACTTAACTGAACATTTAACGACCAAAATGTTTCATTTGCTTCTGAATAATCAGCAGAACAAATCCATAATAATACTGACCGGATCTGCCTGTCTAAGGGCAACGTTAGGAAATTTACAAAACTGTGACTGAGTATAGACAAATCTTTAATAACTGGAAAATATAGTTGCGTTCTTCAACTGCATTCTGGAAAAAAAGGTTTTTGCTTCTTTTTCTAAAATTTAAAATCATCAGTGTTAGTTTTAATTTGACTATAAATATGCAACTTACTCCTGCATGTTGATCCTACAATATAAGACTTATCTTATAACATTTATTTGACTTTAAAATAGTTGCTTACGCTCAAAGTGAGGTTGCATTTTTCTTTGTAAACATCTGGCCAGAAGAACTGGTTTTAAAATAATACGGAGAAAATATAATCGCAACACTGGTACTCACTCAAATATCACAGTTACATCCTTTTATCACGCCTATGAAAACCTGCAGACTTAACAGCGGAGATGCTGGGTGATTTTTTTTTCTGCAACAACGCCAACACTATTCTACCTGAAATATCCTAAGAACTAAATGTAAAGCCAAGTGCTCTTCAGATGGACTGAAAGCATTCCCAGCTCCTGTTTGTAAGGCAGGCTTATCGAACGCTTTAATAATGCCTGTAAATGCAGCACACTCTCCAGGCATAGATATGGTTTTTTGGGTGCTTCATCCTCACGACTCCACAGGTTAACGACAAAGCACTACACAAGCAGCTACTGTAAAGTTACATCACTATCAAAATGCTGTCGGTGTGAAGATTTTGGTGCTAATACTTGCTACAGTGTTTTTTCAGTGTTTCTTCACTACACCTCTGTTACTACTCTGTGATCCCGCTGTCTCGTCTAAAAAAGGTTCCATTCGTAATTAGAACTGCGATTTTAATACTTTTCAATAACCCGAATGTATTCCTGTTTTTTAAATGCTTTTAACATAGGTCTCAAATCCCCTTTGGGGTCACGTCAGGAAGGGCAACTGGTATGAAACACTCTGCCAGATCAAACATGCAGAGCTACCCGCTGTGGTGACCCCTTGTACCAAGGGAGCAGCTGAAAGTAGCTTGTTACAACAGCAGATGACTGTTCAGAGTTTCTAGTGCATTACAACTGTAAAACTTGAGCTACACTTTTGATATTAGGGGCAATTTCCTAGAAAAATATAGCATTAAACCTCCAATTTAAAAGTTCTGGTTGTCAATGAAAATAATTAAAGGTACAGTACTCGGCAGAACTCTTGAGCCACCCCTCATTTGTTTTTATTTTCCTTCCTTGCAGACTCAAGTGGTCTTGAGCAATAGTTCTCCAGCCTTTCTGATGCTCTTTCTGATTTTTTCTTTTGACATTGACTGCTTGTTTGTTAAACCACTTAACACTGACCTATGAACCTATCAATTGACTCATTCAAGCATAAAAAAAGGTTCATATCTCAAGGTGTGGAATTAGTGTTGAGTCAGACCTTAACATTTTCAAGAAACCTGGAGAACTATTCCAGCAGACAACTTAAGCAGCTTTCTTGTTTTTTCTTTAAGAGAATTTGGCTTGTGTCGAAGAATAAAGGTGGTCATAGCGAGTACTGACTTCTAAAATATGTTGTATTTCCAGGTGTGATAAGACATGTTTCAACAAATGTCTGCATGTATTTCTCAATTTCCTAGCAAAAGTCAAATAAATGAGGGGCGGCTGATTTCTTTGCAAAGTACTCCGCTCGTTTTCAATGTTTTGTTCCTTTTTAAAAATTTTGTTTGCTGAAAGATGGCTTGAGTTGTTGATATTATTCTCAATGTCACCAGACCTCTAACACTAAAGACTGAAATTAAGCTCATTAATCCACAACCTCCCCTTTAAAAGTAAATATGAGGTTTACTAAAAAAGCCTCTTTTTAAAAGCATAATTGGCTAATTTTTTATTTCAACCTTCCTAGGAAACGAGCCCTTTAGAATTAAATGAGTGTGAAATTGAGAATACTCCATTATTATATATTTTTTTAAATAAAATGGTTTGTTAATCTTTAAATTGCATAAAAATATAACAACAATCCCATGTGGTTAACAAGATAAATAGTGGCTGGATTTCTGGGTGTGGTTTTAACCCTCACCTTAACATCCTAACCTCTCAGTTACTGGCACAGCTTTGAGAGACTGGCTAGTGTTATTTCTGTCAGCCACATGAGAGCAGCTGCTGGTAAGGAGAGCTTTCTTTACCCCTTAAGTATGATTAAGCCACTGCGCAGGTTCATTAACCTTATTTCCTTTTGACCTCAAGAGATTAAACTTCAGAACACGACATAATGTTCATTTCTTTTCCTCGCAAAAGGACTACGATGAGTTCAAATGTGATCAATGGAGATCTTTTGATGTTTGATGGTTTTCTGAACACTATTGTTTCACCTAATGAATATTTTTTTAACCTCTTTCATCGAGGTTTAGGGCCACACACTGTGCCACAAAGTGTATTACTTTTTGAGAGTGTCAGGGGATATATTCCCCCACCCATCAGATTGATCTAGATCTGATGTAGCAAAGAGTAATAGTTATTAAGGATTTCACATGTACTCAGTTGAAAAAAACAACAACTAATTTATCATGTTTAATAACAAAAACTTTAAAAAGGTGTCCTGCCTCTCTCTTTCGACTGTTCTTTGCAATTCCACTCTGCAATTCCCAGCGGCCTTGCAGATGCAGTGAAAGTCTTTTGGTGGTGAGTGGGCTTGATTGCATGATTTTCCACACTTGAGAAGATGTGGATAAAAGCATTACTAAGGTAACAGAGAGGGACACCACTTTTTACCATTGCTCTCCTGACTGTGCTTTTCAATAGCTCGCTCCTAGATTAGAATTTTGAATGTGCAGCGAGTTCAGTGCTGCTGTTTTCATAAGCTCTACTCTCCATCTCCCAACCACACTGCCTTGGATATCAGATCGTAATAATAAGTGACTAATAAGTCGACATGTGTGTGACGCATTAATGTAACAACATCCCCTACCATAAACCAGACTTCTTAATAACGCTGAACTTCTGGAGTACAAATGTTATTAGGAGTTATTTCCTCCTTGGGATACCTGCTGTCTAAATGAACCAACTGTCTGTTTAGCAGGAACCTCTTATACTCTTTCATAACTGCATCTTTATTCTTGGACTCTACTAGAGTATCTCTGGATGAACAAGCTCTTTAAGCTCCTCTCACTTTGCCAACTTTCTACTGATTGGCTGCCTCTTGGAAACAAAAGCTTTGTACATCAGATGGGGAAAGCTTCTATGCTGAGATGACCATATTATAGATATCCCTCTCAGTGACATCATGTCAGATCGAAAAGCAGAAAAAAGTGTCTGAAATTGAGTGTTAGGGATTAGCTACACATATGATGCCCTCATTATCTGAAAGTTTGTCCATATTTTAATGAGCATCCACTAACATTTCAACCTTTTGTACACGGAGGATACATTTGTTTCTGGCGCCATGTCTGTAAAGTTAATCTGTCAGTTGAGCAAGTGGTGTCGCACAAAATACGGGAAGGAGTTCAAATGATAGAGCTTTCCAGCACTAAGGTAGCACTGTCTTTGGTCTCTTCACTGACCCATCACAATCTTTGTGAGGAACAATCTGAAAAGTTGAATGAACCCGAGCTGTGGCGTGTGCCTCAGGGGAACGTTAAGCCTTCCTGCTGCTCCTCCTGCTGCTCCTGCTGCTGCTGAGTGAATGACTGGTGCAGTTTCCCAAAGCTGTGCATTATGTTTTCATGAGTTCTACTACAAATTTCTATTTAAAATTCAACTTATGAAATGGAAACTAAATGCGGGTTCACGGTTTTACTTTCTTAATAGTCCTTCCCACAATTTATCTCCACAAAGTCATGAAGAATGTCAAACTTCCCTTCAACTAATGAGCATATCTGAGGTATAGACTTTGACTAAATACTATTGGATGTGTAAGCTACTTCCACAAAATAGTTCTAAAATGTTAAATCTATCATATCAAAGAGTATACAACAAAGATAACGATTACCTCATTACAAAAAATATAGACTAGTAACATTTAGGATCAGCTATCCACTGAATTCTAAAATATAGTTTAACTGAGACAGCATCGAGTTGCACAGTGACAGGACGTTCATTCAGTAAGAAAACAGAAATATGCTTCACTGTCTTCCTTTTCTTTTCATTTTGGTATAATTACTGAACAAACAATACATCAGGGAGGGGAAAAAATAATTTCAATAGTGTAAACATTGTACCAGTACAAAAGCACATGTCGCAAGACGTGGTCAGAAAACACCAACACAGGCAGCGCTGTCACCCTTTACTCTTCCTCCATTGACTTCTCAATCTCTTTCAGCCTGCGGACAAACTCCTGAGCCTCCCGGTCCCCGACGCGAGCTTCCAGCATCCCCATGATTGGCTTCTCTGGAGGCGAGAGAAAACAGATGAGCACAGTTTCTATACCTGACACAAATATCTCTTGATTGAATGGCTTTTCATGCTGCATTGAAGAAGTAATTGGAAACCCAGACTTACACCCCCTGGTCTTCAAGAAGCAAACATTATGTTTGAGTAAACAAAACGACGGCATAACCCCCCCCCAAAAAAACAAAAAAAACAATATAAATGATACAGCCCGGAGCCGTATGTACCGCTGGGTTTACTGCGAGACAGATGCAGAATGACAGGCTGGACGCTCTTGCCAGCCGCTGAGGCGTTCGGTCTCCCCGGCCAGCAGAAGTCGCTGAGAGGAGCGACGGCTTCTCCAGCGAAGTCGTTGGTGGACAGCCAATCGTAGTCCATCACAGTAAAGGTCAAACAGGCAAACCTGTGCCTGTACTGTTCAGGACTGACGTGGCTGGAAGACAATGGAATCAAACAAATCAGCCGCAGGGTGTGTGCATATAAACAGGGAGACCTAACAAAAGGGCAGAGTACTCACAAGTAAAAGAGCTCATCGAACACTGGGTGCAGCGTCTTAAGCTTCACTTGCGTGCGCTGACTCTTGGCCATAGGAAACAGGTGGTGAGGACATAACTCCACTATGACGAAGGGATCACTCAGACCTGAGGAAGTAGTGTTCAACTTTAATATTTAATTTAAGACAAAAATTTAAATTCATAAATTCACATATTTACCATTGGCATCCAGTGCGATGATATCAGCAGCATGCAGGATCTCCACTGTCAGGCGCTGCTCTGGAGCATCATAGTAGCACTTCACGCTGATCCGACCGTAACGTGTATGTTTGAGAGTTTTCTGCAACATTAAGTATTGACAGAAATATTAAGCATGCATCCATCCTCATTTCGCGGGTTGTGTCGTGTCTTCAAAGGGCCGACGAGAAGGCAGATTTTTAATCAGAGGTATAACAACAGAAGAAAGAGCACTCTGCTGTCCAATCAATACTTCTTTCTTCACTTCAAAGGAGAACAAAATGAGATTGTCAGTCTTGTAGGTTGAAACGCACCTGGTGGGAAATCTTCTCCAGATAGTACTGTTCAATCAGCTCAAAGGATGAACATTTATTCAGCCTCAGCTCCTCATCCAAGACCTAAAACAGCATCGAGATTGTCACAAAGCGATCAATAGCATGATGGATAACGCAACATAAATCTGACCTTGAACCCACTTATCAAGATACCAGGAGCCAGACTAGTAGATGTACTAGTAGATGTTCACCACTAAAAGTGTGTGTAATGGAAAAAGTGCAGAAATTTTCTTCTTTTATAAATCTTTGGACTTTACAGAAAGTGGAACTTGTAGAGTTTAACAATTTAGCAGAGCATCTGTCATAAAAACAAAAATATTTTAGAAATCTTTCGAAAACTTTAAAACTAAAAACTATATCACTTATTAGCCAAATAACAAACTGAATTTAGATTTTTATACCCAAACTAAACTTCTCTGGAAAATTAGGAATTAATCAAGTGTTTTAATGACATTTTTTTTTAATAAATAATGTATTTTACTGTTTTTTCCTTATGTAAAACTGAAAGGCTGCAGTTTTATGCAACATTTTAGCATTAAAAAAATATTATTTTAATTAAAGACCTTGCACATACTGGTGAATTAACCATAACAGAAACATAAAAATATTATTATTATTATTTGGCAATTACCAACAATGACAATTTAGGGCAGCTGTGGCATATATAAATAAACCTGGCATTGGGTGCTGGTCTTATAATTTGGTTAAGCACTGTAGAAAATTTCCTTCCTTATGGAATCATGAACAGAAGAAAAATGCCAAAAATGTAAAAGTAAAAGTAACTGAAGCCATCAACTCTGTAAGTTCAGGGTAAAAGATCATGGCAGATTTAGGACTGGAAGACAAACATGAACCATTATTAAAACAGAAGGACCGCCTGTCAAAATAAGTGTAATATTAAACGCAAGTTTTGTGAAAATTGTCTGTTTTGTTGCACTTTTTAAAATCTCAACTTTATCATATCATGTGCAGTGTGCACAACATTTTTCATGCACTTTTTTGTTTATAAAAATCAGTATACGTTTGGGAAAAGATGTACATTATTTATACAGCCGGCTCCTGGTTGACAGATTGGATGAGTTCCTACCTTGTAGTCTCCGCTCTTCATGTCTTCCAGGAAAAGACCCTCTCCCCTAGCATGAAAGAACTGCAACAGAGTCTAAAGCGATTGAACAAAAGCATTAAACTCGGGAGCTCATAACATTTATCCCTCTATTTTTGATAGACTTGTTGTTCACACAAACAGCATGAAACCTCTGGCAAACATTGCATCTGTCTGCCAGCCTCCGAATTCATGCCATGACTTTTCATGCAAATATGTCACGTCCTCTTCCAGCTGGTTAAATTGGAATTAGAATATACAACAGTTCCCACATTGTCATTCATAAGGGAGCTCACTTTGGCACTGAACTATTACCTAGTGTCTTCATGAATATCTGATATATGCTAATGATTGCACGCCAAAGGGCATACCGAGATAATTAAAGAATGCAAGCGGCAATGATAATCTTAACATATTAGACACATGTCTTTTTAAACAGACCATTCTTTTCAGTGGGCACACAGACTAAAAGGATTATTGTGCGATGCAGTAATCACTGACCTCTACTGTGTACTGGAAGCGGTTGTAAAACTCCACCTGGACACCCCTGTTTTCAGTGACCGTGTCCAGGATCATCCGCAGGAGGAGCTCCCACATGCTCTGGAGAACTCTACCAGGAAGCAGACAATGAGACACCCACACATGTGTGTTTACCAGCTCTTCCAATTACACCCCATGTACTCTCACTATGTTTTCACAGATAATAGCCCGATAATGAATACTTGTAAGTAGTGTAAGTGCTAAAGGCTATTATTATTATTGCAACGCTTACATTCATACACAAGCGCAGCATCTTATTTGCTGAGCTGTCACACATTTTATGTAGTGCAACAGAATAGGGAAAATCTCTTTTTAAGACAAGGAAACAATGGATTTTGTTGTGTAACTGCGTTTGGAGTGAACCAGAAATCTATTTTGGGTTGGCTTGGATTCATTGTGGTTTTAACAATCAAATATATGCTGATCATGCAGTGTTTCATGTGCATGGGAAACATAAGGAACCAGGGGATATTTGGTGTGGTGCATACTGGCTGAACTCATATAAATCATATTTATAGTACAGTGCAAAAATCTTGAGCCACCCTTATACAGTTTGTACAGTTCTAACAAGCCTAAAATTCATATTTTGTATGGCCTCCTTTATTCTCAAACACGACCTGAACTCTTTTAGGCAAGCTTTCTTGTAATTTCTCTAAGCCGTCCTCAGGAACAGTTCTCCAGGCTTCTTCAGGGACATTAGAAGTTCTTCTTTGGAAACTGGCTGCCTTTTCTTTTGTTTTTATCAAGACGATCCCAAACTCCTTTAATAATATTGAGGTCCAGGCTTTGGGGATGCCAGTTCTTAACCGATAGTGTTCCATTGTGGGTTTCCCTATCCTGGTATCTTTCACTGCAGTGTGTTTGGGATCGTTGTTATAATGAAAAATGAAGCCGTGGCAGATGCTTTCCAGAGGGCATTGCATGATGGATCTGAGTTCATAATCCCATCAACTTTGACAAGATTCACAACAACACTGACTGAAATGTGGCTGAAATTTATGACAGAGCCTCTGCCAGATTTTATTGGTTAGTCCAGTTTTGTGTAATTTCACACACCTCAGCCTCCTTGATTCCCTTCCACTGACACCATTTCTGTTGAGGCTTTGGTGAACAGTAGATGGATCAACTGGAGGGCAGATACATCTCTCAGATCCTTCGTCAGGTCTTTTTTGCTATTTCTTAAGGACATGACTTTGAGATACTGTTGATCTGCTGTAGATAGTTTTTCAGGCCTGCCACTTCTTTTTTTTGTCCTCCACTAGTCCAGTTTCCTGTGTCAAGATGTCAATTTTTGGCTAATAGCTCTTTGGGAATAACCTTGTTGTAGTGCAATAGGTGAATCCTAAAGCGCAAAAATAAAATCTTGCTATTTTATGCCTGTCAAACTGTGTTATCTGTGTCATCATTTCCCGTAGATTAAAAAATGGGGGCAATTATGTGCTTTTTCTGCAGGCTACTGAAAAACAAAAGGGTAAGAGTTTTCAATTTGACCTTTGTTTTTTTGAAAGTGGTGATTTGCTAAATGCATTGTTACGTGTCTTTTTAGGCTTGAATGATTCATAGATCTGTGTTAAGTGGCTTAAATAAACCAAAAAACAAATAAAAACATTCCTCTGAAAAAGCCTGGAAAAGATACAAGCACTGGACGGAAAATTAGTGAAAAAGCAGTCAGTGTTAAAGAAATTATCCAAAGCTTCAGAAAGCCTGGAGAACTTTTGCTCAAGACCACCTTGAAACATTACGAGAAAGTCTAGATCCTTGGATGCTTGCATCAGTGTTATGCACATCTTAAGTTAGTATAAAGATACCATACTTTGAAATAAGCCTCAGAACAGCCTTTTCCTGCTACAGTCAAACTTATTTTCACAGTATTTTGACTATCACTCAAATTAATGTTGTGATTAGTTTTGCATGTATGCCTAAGGAGCTTGGAAAGAAAAGCGTCTGGACTTCTTTAAGTTGCTTGAAGACATTTCACCTCTCATCCGAGAAGCTTCTTCAGTTCTAGTGACCCTAGAACTGAAGAAGCTTCAGTTGGTGGAGAGTCCCAGATTTAAGCTTTGTGGGAGTAACCCACCAAGAGGGACAATGAACCCCCTAATGATCCTCTACCTAATCACGTGAGCCAAGGTGTGGAAATAGGTGTAGGTCACAATCAGCCAAGGTTTCGGGTGAACTCATTGTGAAACCTAGCCCCACCCTGTGAATTCCTGAGGTCAGGTGACCCAGGATGTGAGAGGGCGTTAAGGCGTCTGGGAAGGGATCTCAAAACTGGATTGGCAGACAGTTGGTGTCGTAAACCACCGACTCTGTTCAAAGATGGTCGCTCACATCAGACACAAACTAGGGAGGATAAGAAGGACAAACGCAACAACATTGCCATCCCCTATGTAAGTTTCACAATGAGCTCACCCGAAACCTTGGCTGATTGTGACCTACACCCATTTCCACACCTTGGCTCATGTGATTAGGTACAGGATCATTAGGGGGTCCATTGTTCCTCTTGGTGGGTTACTCCCACAGAGCTTAAATCTGAGACGCTCCACCATTTGACTCTAGAACTGAAGAAGCTTCTTGAATGAGAGGTGAAACATCTTCAAGCAACTTAAAGAAGTCCAGACACTTTTCTTTCCAAGCTCCTTAGACTACTATGACCTGGACGACTGAGAACCTTCAGAGACATTTGCATGCATGCCTCTTCAACTATGAGCTCTATGTGCCCATTCTGATTTCTCATGTTCTTTGTTATGTTCATGTTTTGTCTTGTGTATGACATGATTCAGTGGTTTTGTACTGAATGTCTATTTCTTTTAGCACATTGTGACTCACAACAGTTATTAACGCATTAAAGTCTACCTCCCCCCTGCCTTTTTTGGCATCTTGTGATGTCATTGCATAGTGACTCAAAAAGCAAGTTTTGCTAAAGGCAACAAAAGTCTGTGTGGTTTTTTTTTTTTAGAAAGAAATGCAAGAAAAAGAACTTAATATTAATAGTAAAAAGAGAATTAAAAAGTACCTTGTTAGATTTTCTTTTACAAGGTTTTCTGTCAGGATGACCATAGTGTCTTGTAAGTACTTCATGAGAGGGGAAACAGCCTGGGAGAATGTCACACATTACATAAATACCACAAAACACCGCTAATATAAGGATAAAAAAGGCTAGGCGGCTATTGCTACATACGTCATCATTGTTGATGGAGTCAGGAGACAGGCTGATGTGCTGGATGTACCTCCGCAGCTCAGGCAGCATCTGCACAGGAATATTTAGTCACAGATGTTCATGAAGGTGCATACTTCAAAGTATATAGATGTCCGGATACGCTCAAAAAGTTCTACAAACTGGTTTGTGAGAAACAGGAAAATTATACTCCTCGTGTTCACCTTGTCAGTGAGCAGTGTGATGAGGCGTTTAGCTTCTCTCTGCAGGTCCAGGTCCATGTTGAACAGCTGTCCATTCAGAGCCTTGTAAACCTGCTCTTTCCCCTCCACCCCGCATGATTCCTCCATGGCGCGCTCCACACCCTGCCAGTCCAGGTCCCGGGGCAGGTGACCCAGGAAAACACGCACATGCTCTATGTTGTTCAGGGCGATGCAGAGCTAGCAGAAAGCGAGGAGGAGCAAAGGCGGAGAAACAGAGGGTAGAGATGGAGAAAAAAAGAAGGAAAAGAAGCAGGGCTACAGAGAAGTGGAGGGATTGAGTTTGAGTGTAAATGATTGATGACGACAAGAAGCAACTGCTTTGTTTTTGTGTGTATAACATATCTGCTCTCCCGCTGAGCCCTTTGTGTTGACAGAGAGCTTGCTGACATCGTTGACGTAATTCTGTGCCCACCCCCGGTTCTGTCTTGCTACAGGCGTTACCTGCACTGTGAAACTCTTGTGGTCTCGGCCCAGCTGGTTCCTCTCAATCTTGTGCGTTATCATCTCTGAGTAGCACACGGCCTCACTGCAGAAATTCTGCAGTAGATAAAATCAGTCTTGTCATTACGGCACAGCTCCCTCAGTTTCCTTTATGATTTTGACTGATAAACTGTATGTGTCATGTTTCTATGTGCACAGAATATGAGTATGTGAGTGTGGCAACACTATAAGTGGCACTCACGTCTGTCAAACGTGTGACAAAGATGAAGGCCCCCGCAGAGTCTGGCCAGGCCAGCTGGACCCAGATCTCGCGTACCTGGCTGAAGCAAGCTGTCACTTCAACTGCTGAGGAACTGTGCTTGGCTTGCTGCAAAGGTCCAAGCTACTCACAAAAAATAAAATCAATCTTAAAAAAGACAAAGCATGGATTTCCTAATATTTACATTTTTTTTTTTACATGCATGAAAATCTGTAACATTTTAGCATATTTTGCAAGCAGGGAATGAATAACTGTTTTAAACTTAACACGGTAAAACATTTTAATGTAGTTCCAAGGAGGTACATGACCTGCGATTAAAAAAAAGGCAGTTCATTCATAAAAAACAGACCTGATTTAAAATTTCCCCTTTAAGGTCATATAGTTGTAAAGCTCACTTCCAATGCTGCTCCTTCTAATTGGATCACTTCTATTACAGCTCATCTCAACTGATCGAGGGACTGGCTGATCAGCTAATGAATGCTAGCTTATAGCGCCAGACAAATAATTTATCAGCAGATTACTGCTTCTCCTTAAAGTGAATACTGTACATGTTTAATAATGGTGAATAAATCATTATTGTACAAAATATTTTAATTCTTAGGAAAAAATATAGAAAAACAAGAGAGCTGGGGGTCTCATAATTTTTTAAAACCTTGGGAAAAAAGGAAAAACCTTGAACAAAAAAAAAGACAAAATATATATATAATTAATTACAGGTTAATTGTACATTGATGCTGTGATAATGTGTTAATTGATAACACATTAAAGGTGCCTTTTACAGCTATTCACAGCTACAATCCTAATGAGTTTTAGCTTGTTCTAAAGCTTTAGACCTACTCTATGTGGCACACAGCTATATTTTACACACCTGCGTGTTCAGTACTTCTGTAAGTTGGCTTGTTTTCTGAGAAAGAGTCTATTATGTTCCTTCTATTATTCATGCCATTTCTCACCTTATCTGTTTCCACTGCCTTGCGAATCCTGTCACAGGACCTGTCGTGAACAATCTGCAGCCACTTGTGAATTGAGGACTTGAACCAGTTATGGAAACCTGTCAAGGCCAACATTTTAGCATCCCTGTAAAAGAGAAATACATTCATTAGGACATGACTTCCAGTCAGAGCCTTTTAAATTGTTACATCAATAGACGTTGGAGTCAAAAGGATAACCAACTTGAGAGGAAGAAACTCTCGAAAGCCTTTGAGGATTTTCAAGGACACGAAGAGCTCGAAGATGGTCTCTCCCATTGTCTGAGACAGTCTGGAGCTCTCCTGCTCGAGAGTCCCACACACCCGCTCCATCGCCACGTTCACATCATCAGCTACCTGTCAGGTCAAAGGAAGTCAGCGTGTTTCATCCGTGTAAAAGTTAGCAGCAACAACAACATATGACTCAGAAAGACTTGTCATGTCATGTTTACAGTGACCTGTCGCATCATTTTCAGTGACATACCTGCTTTTCCAACAGTCTGTATGATATGCTGAAGAAATCTACTTTCACTGCACTGTGGAGAAAACAAACAAACAAACAAACAAAGAAAAATATAAAAATCCCATCAACAACCAAGCACACAAATCAGTGTGTCACCACTGAATAATATAGCATGACACTTATCGGTTGTTTTTTTTTCTCCCTCGGATTTCTTGCAGAAAACTGCTGTTCACCTGTAGAAAAGTTTATTGTAGATGTTCTGGGCCCTCTGGACATCTGCACATGCAGCATCAATCACCTGAACCAGCTTCTTCAGCTGTTCCTCCAGAGTCTGCATTGTCAGAATATAATGAACATCACCCTGGATGAAAAAACTCAAGGTACACTGTGTAAAAGATGTTAGGATATCTATGATTTAGGACCAAAACAAGCTTACTCCTTCCTCTGGTTTATATCGAGTGATTAAGCTCTCGTACCACTCAGCAGTTCCTTTCTGTTCAAAAGATTAAAAGGAGAATAACTGGGCTGAAGTAAAGGGCTCTTATTGACTAGTAAGTATTTCTTACATTCAGCATTTCTCATCAAAAACACTCTATGAATCAATAAAAGCTCAAGTGTTAAACACATTTACTTCCTCATTTAAAACTAATATCCATATTTCCATATTTTATTGGTACTTTGCTCCATTAAGACCAACAATGACATCCACAGATATGCAGTACATCACTACACTCTGTACACTAAATGACTAGGTTATTAGGTACATCTGTTCAACTGCTAACCAGCTATGACAGCAACTCAAAATATTCACGTATGGTTGTCAGTTTATTTCAGAATTTCAGAAACTGCTGATCTGCCTGGACTTTCCCACACAACCATCTGTAGGTTTTACAGAGAATGGTCTGAAAAAGATAAAATGGCACTGGGTGCCACTCCTGTCGGCTAAGAAAAATATCTACACAAGGTCAACAGACAATAGAAGATTGGAAAAACATTGCCAGGTCTGATGAATTTCACTTTCTTTCCGATGCTAGTGTCAGGATTTCTCATTAAATACATGAATGCACTGATCCATCCAGCCTTGTATTAATAGTTTGAGTTGCTGCTCTTGGTTTAACAACGTGGGGAATATTTTATTTGGGACACTTTGGGCCCTTAGTACCAAATGAGCATCATTTCAGTGTCACAGCGTACCTGACCATGTCCTCCATGGCAAGGTCACAAAATTCAAATCATCTCAAACAGTTTTTTAAACATGAAAACGAGTTTGTGTTCAAACTGTATCCACACCCAGCAGATCCTTCATGACAATATAGACCAAAATCTGTGAGGAACATTTCCAGCACCTTCTTGAATCTACACTATGAAGATTTAAGGTCAAGGTCAAGGTCAAATGTATTTATATAGCACATTTCCAGATAGATGATGCTGCGCAAAGTGCTTAACAATATAAAAATGTCATAAAAAAGAAACAACGTAAAACAATAATAACAATATAAAACAATGATAGGACAATAAAAGAATTAAAACAATAACTAAGATTATTAAATAAGACAAAAATGCTTGGGTCATAGTGTGTTAAAAGCCAGGGCATAAAAATATGTCTTTAGTAGTGATTTAAATTGATCAAGTGTTTGTGCAGATCTAATATTTTGGGGAAGACTATTCCAAAGTCTGGGACCTGCCACAGAGAAGGCTCTATCGCCACGAGATTTGAGATTAGTCCGTGGGATGGATAGCATTAATTTTGAGCTAGACCTAATGGATTTTCCTGGAGCATAAACAGAAAGGAGCTCAGACAGGTAAGAAGGGGCTCCGGCGTTAAGTGACTTAAAAACAAAAAGTAAAAGTTTAAATTGGATCCTGTAGGAGACAGGAAGCCAGTGTAGAGAAGCTTGACTAGCTGTCTTAACTGAAAGAAGCAGGATTAGACTACTGCACTCACCTGCTTATTCAATTTAAAAGAACCATCAAGGTAGACACTGAGGTTTTTTACATGCAAGGTTTTTTTAGGGCAGTTCTAGCACCTGGTACCTAATAAAGTTTCATAAGTACATGCATGAAGGACAACAATTAATTCATGTACTACATTAAAAAAATCCTGCTGGTCAAAAACTTCATGGGTCACCCACACAGGTTTTCTTGTTACCTTAATAGCAGTAGTGATGTCGAGATGCAGGTCATTTCGAAGAGGACACACAGTCTTAAAGGCACGCATGTTTTGCATGTACCCAATCCCCCTGACAGTCACAGACAGAAAAAGCCAGCAACAATGTATGAGTGCGATTATATCATAAAGCAGTTATACAGTAACATAATGTTCTTTACACCTCAGAAAATATAAAAGCTATATCTATTACACTTTAATTGTATGCAAGATTCTGCATATCTGTGGAGAAAATGAGAAAGATAACTTTAACTGTTAGTGAGTCACTTTATGTGTGTGTGTGTTTCAGAGTGTAGAAAAGAGTTCCCTTGAGGTGCTGATAACTGGGCAGAGCAAGACTTCTTACTGTAAAAGCTTCTATAAAAAGCCAGTCGCCTCTAAATTAGTCCAAACCAGGCACATGAACTTCAATAATTAGCTGCTTTTACTGCAATTTATAAGATACAGACTCCTTATCTCTGTGCTCTTACTTTCTTCCTATGGTCACTGCTACGTACAAGCAAAAGCCAAAAGATGGCGATTCTTCTCTTGCTGATCCAGATTTTGCTTGTCGATGGCTTCTCATTTCTAGTTATCCAAGACTTCTAGTTAAAATTTCCCTCTTGGTACATTAGTCAGGTGTTAGTCTTTTTTAAAATTTTTTATTTAAACAAATTGGGCTTTGAGGAAAAGGTGTTATAGCTCTTTTGACATGAGTAATGAACAATGACATTTAAAACATTGTTTAGTGAGTAAGGAACCCAACACTGCTTCCTCCACAGAGTGTGACTCTCTGTAGTCTCTCTGTGTTTGTTGGGGTGAATGGCTGAACATGTTGGTATGAGAGCACGGGCGAGTGCGTGATGTGATGGTGGTGTGCCTTTACCTCAGCATGAGCTCGTAGCGTGTAATGGCAGCAGCGCTGGTGCAGGGGAAAACCTGACGCATGTTCTTCATCAGGCACAGGCAGTGCTCTGTGTACAGCCTGAAGCTGTCTGACAGCTGCCTCTCCTGGACACAGGAAGGGCCCTCAGTTATAGCTTCCAGTACACTGGCTGTGAGACATTTTTGGCTGAACCAAAAACCTTGATGAATGTCAGTGAGGAGCTGAGCTAATGAGGTGACTGTTTCTAGATGATGAAAGGTTTTTGTTTGTTTCCCTGTTGGGGGAGCAACGGTGTAGAACCTACTAGGTCTCCCCGCACAGCGGGAGGGTCCCACTCTGCATCGATAGTCCTCAGGAGGCGCAGCAGCAGGGAGTAGCACACCCTCTGGGTCCGATGGTGGCTGCTGTAGCACTGCCAGCGACTGCATTAAAAAGAAAACACGCACCTTCCTCCTGATGCTAAAGCGTTCATATAACATTTGATCAATTTTATTCCTCCATTAATACTCACATAATAGCCTGTTGCAGAGGTGAGAGATCAGTTTGCACAGCATGGTGAGTTAGCACAGTCCATGCTGGAGGAGAAACCTGCCCGTTCCAGTTGTACGGCTCTCGCTGGAAATACATGTGGAAGATTACAGTCATTTCAACCACACTTCAATGTAAGAAGAAACTCTTTGTACAGTTTGTGCACTTTTGAGGCTTTGTTTCTAAATACAATCATTTTAGCCATGGGATAAACTGGCAGCCTATGCAGGGTGTACCCTGCCTTTCACTCTCTGACAGCAGGATTATTTCCATCTGTATAAGTTTACATTTAATGATAAAAAATATGACTAAATAGTTAAACAGAAAACAATACAAGCTGTTATAAAGGTGTGTGCGTAGAAAAAAAACAATCTAAAGGAAACTCACCTTAACATGAGCATGCTCATACTCCACAATCTGACTCAGCAGTTTCTTGTGAATGGAGACATTTGTCTCCTTCTTAGACAAAGCTGTGTCTCTCTGAAGGTCAAATGAACATTTGAAGTCTTATCGTACACAGAGGAAGACACATTTTTATATAATGAATAACTGTTGTACTTTTAATACCTGGCTGGTGAAGAGCTTCAGAATCAGGTGACATTCTCCCTGAACTTTAGATGCACTCGAGCGTGGCTCAAGCTTGAACCAGGTGTCGTAGCCCATAACGGGAATTTCCTGAAGAAGGAAAGCAGCTTGACTTGACATACTGACAAAACTTTTACAGTATGTCCTTTAATGTATATGAGTTTGCGTGAGATTTTGAAGATGCAAGGGGCAGGGATAGAATTAATGGGCTAAACCATCTGAAGCCACAGATTGAGCATAAGAGAAGGGAAGAAGCATGGAGCGGGTGAAGTATTAGAGGTGATTCGTGACAGAAGGATAGCAGCAAGAGAAGGAGATGATTTACAAGATGGTGGGAGACGTGCTATGATGTTTGCTTTGGATGTGGTGGCACTGGAAAAAAACAAATAAACAATAACCAACCAATCAACAAAAAAAAGCCCAAAAGAGGCCAAGCGGAAGCTAGCAGAGTTAAAGACGGTAAGACTGTTAGTGACCAGAAGTGACAGGACAAAATAAGAAATGAGTATATCAGAGTGACATCTCAGGTTCAGCAGTTTGAAGACAAAAGTAGAGAGGCAAGGCTGACATGGTTTGGACATGTGCAGAGGAGGATGACATGTACAAAGGATGTTGAATATGGAGCTGCCGGGCAGGAGGATAAAGAAGATTCGTGACAGAGAAGATTCAGGGATTCAGTGAAGGAAGACATGCAGAGGGTTAGTGTGATGGAAGAAGATGCTAAGGATTGGGGTGAGACGGAGGCAGATGGTTCGCTGTGGTGACCCCTAAAGGGAGCAGCTGAAAGAAGAAAAGCTTGTGTGTGGCTTCTCTGCGGAGACAGTTGCACTTTGTTCACTCACATTCAAAGGAATATTGATGCATCCGAGGAAGTCATCTACATTCTCCTCAGAGCCCGATGATGCAGATCCATTCGCACGCACCGACTTTGCTATTTGCTTAAAATACCTGAGCGGAAAATGCGAGGAACAAAGTAAATGGTGAGTTTTCAGTTTTTCTGCATTTAGCTAATGCCTTCATTATATGTGACTCACAATTAGAGATACTGCATTTATTTACTGATGCCAGCTGACCACTTGTTACTTTCTTGTTGGATTAAAATTGCAGATTTTTCACCACGGGATGAGGATCCTTTAATCCCTTGGCTATGGTTGGCATTCTCAGGTTTTCATTAGACATGTCTGCTATTTATTAGTCTCTCTGTGACCTGGCAGATCTCCTCATGTTTTCTGTGTGCACAGATTTATTGGCACCACGGTTTTCTGTATGTCAGTCTTTCAAAGGGCAAATACCAAATGATCCCGTAAAATTAACAAGTAGGCTGCTATCAGCTTTTTGAACATGTGGAGACAAACCAGGTCTCTATACTCATCAGCTGGAACTTCTGGAATAATTCACATGGAAATTACATATTTAATGACTCATATTTTTACTGTTGCAATGTCAACTGGACTCACGAATTAACAAGTTTAATTGTTTCCAAAATTAGGAAAGTTTTAAGGATTTCTGACAAAATTACGCTGGAAATCCAGAATTACTGTAGTTAGCATGCAGTACTTTTTTCTACCTGCCCATTCCTCGAAGTCCACTGACTTCATTGAGCTTTTTGCAGGCCTCAGCAACAGATACGTCGTCATCGTGATCCCTGAAGGAAAGAAGACGAATAAAAGCTTGTTACACTCTCACTTACTGCAAAACATGAGAGGCTGTAAGAAGCTGTAATAAACTGAGGAGAGAAGGTCATCTATAATCAAGGCCCATTGTTGTTTAAGAAAAGCAACTTTTACCATGACAAGAGGCAGGAAATGTTTCGGTAACAGCTGAGTAATGGGGACATTTTGTAATTTAGAACATCACATTTTAACAGGCTATTTGATTTGCATAGTAATGATATTCACACTGAATGATGCGGATAAAATTGTTACATTTTTGCATAATTAGAAAGGATGATTGCTTCGCTTCACTTTGGACGTTTTCTCTTTTGCTTGTAAAACTTTGATCTGCTAAAATTGACAAAGTGAGCAGAACCAGGCGCTAAACTGGGAAGATTGTAAAGCTTTTGACAAAGTAATAAAAAAGATAGAGCTCTGTGACTTTTCTAGAGCTGCAGTGATGAGCTATTTTAGAGGATTTTTTTGCTCAAACACAAAATATAAACGTTTTTTGACTGTTAATTTTCCAAAAAACCCAAAATGTGATGATTTATGTTTCTCAGCTGAAAGAGTATGCTGCCTTACATTTAATTTTAATTGAATTGATATACCTTTATTAGTCCTACAAGGGGAAATTTCATAAGGCTGCCGACCTATTGCACGCAATGGCGGCGCCATCTTACCCTCCGACCATACATACATTACACAAAACATCACATGGGGAAGACAGGTCAGAGAGGTATAACAATGGAAAATGCACCACATGAGGAAAGATAAGGAGAAAAAAATAACTCCAGACTGAGCTCCAACAGGGAGATCAGTTTGAGAACAGAAAAAAACACCTCTGCAGAGCACATGAAAAAAAACCCTCCTAATACACCAAAGAAACACATGACAAACAACAGAGGTGGGTAAAGGGTGCAGCATCGGAAGGGAATAAGCGTCGAAGGCGTTTGGAAAGGGAGGGGGGATGAGTGTGTGCATATCAGTGTATATGTTTGTGTGTGCGTGTCCAGAGTTCAGCTGAGACAGTCCTTCGCCCTGCTAGGCTAAGTAAACAGTCTTCCAGCCAACCCAGGTGGCCTTACATGGAATGGGAAGGAACAGACTAAACACAGTCGTTATCAGGGTGTTTTTGTTCGGCTCCAGCCCTGCGAACGCAGCTGGCGCCAAAGGGGTATCCGCATGAAGTGATGGTGCTTTTTACGTTAGTGCGAACAGCTCATATGAATTTCAAAGCAGTTCTACAGTCCAACACTGGTCTCTCAATCTCCCGTTGGAGAGCCGCGAGCTTCGCCATACTTGCGTTCTGTGATGTTGTCATTTCTTGTGCTCAAGGAGCAGATTTCTGAGAACTCACGGCAGTGTGCCTCCCCGAGATGTCATCCAATTTGCGCCCAGAGATGTTATTCCGAGCTAGCCCTTCTGAGATGTATCCAGTCTGCAGTCAGAGATCTTATTCTGAGTATTCACAGCAGCCGTAGCCTCTCCAAGATCTTATCCGTGCTGCACTCAATGAGCCCATTTTGAGAAACTCACGCCTCTTCCCATCGTTCCAATCCCAGCGGGCAGCCTTGTGGGGGTTTGAACAGCTGGTTCCGCTTTCTTAAATCTTTGATAAGTCAGGGCCAAGCCAGCTCCGATCCGCCAGAACCCTGTTACCATGGTTCCGAATAGGTAGATATCTTCAGCACTCAGGCTCACCCAAGCCCAAACTTCTCGTTGAGAAAGGGGTGTCAATTGCATTTAGGGACCAGTTGATCCAATCCATAATTCCTCTTTTAGGTTTTAGAGAACAGACTGTGAGAGAGTGTCCCAGGGAAAAGTAATACAAAAAAACACGAGACTAGACAAGGATATAAGAGGCTAAGCAGGGAAGCTGAGGGAGAGGAGGAGGAGGAGAGGAGAAAAGTGCGACCGCCTTCGTCAAGAGCAAGAGCAGAAGAATTAACTCAATTGTATATCAATAGATTTTGACAGCTAACTGATCAAATCAAACACATTAGTTGAGAATAATTCAATTTGTCATGTTTTTCAAAAGTTTTCATAGATCTAATTATTAACTGATAAAGTAATCAGTTATTGTACACTTAATATATTTATTTACCACCTCTTGTTTCTCTGCTTCCATATATGTTTTCTTTTAAATTTCTGCAATGCAATGTAATAATCTGGCATTAAAGCAAAATCAAATCAAATATACTGTAGGTTATTTTTGTAGCTGTAAGAGCTTGGCATTACTATGCACAGTCTCCTCAGATCACACACTGCATTAATAGGAAATAAAGTTGAATTGAATTATCTTACCATATGTCCAGATGTAAGAGGTCATTGTGGACATCGTCTATTTCACTAGAACACAACAACAGCAAAGCAACAATAAAAAACTAAAGACCCGGAAACATCATCGTTTAAGCGCTCAATTTCATCAGCAACACCGACAATAATCGGCTCAATTCTTCAGTGGCTCTTTTCACAGAAATGACATTGTGGCGCACTGGTCACATAACTAGCAGCTTTGGGCGTTAGTGTGAAACTAATGAAACCGTGATTCCTGCATATCACACATACCAGCGTGTGCAGCTCTCTGATAAAGGTTAGAATTTGTCTTATACTCACAACACGAAGTGCTCGTCCCACACTGGGTTCAGAGTCTCAGGTTTGACCTCAGTCACCTGAATACACCTGGCTGGTAACACTTCCTTGGTGCTGGAGCGTTTCTCCAGCTTGTCCTTCCTCTTCCTGAAGCTGAACTTTCTCTCCTTCTTCTCCTCCGTTTCCCGAGGGCTCTGGCCCACGAGGATGCCCAGCATGCAGTACGGGTCACTGTAGCCTGCAGGGTGACAACCAGAAGACAGTGTTGGATAGTTACTGTTATTGCTGTTTCATTAGCATAGTTCATTGGTCATAGAGTAAACATTATAGCAGATTACTTGGATTATAACATCAGCACTCATCCTTACACTTTAGGCTTATTGGCTTCTTTTTGTACAAAGTGTCAGAGTAGAGAAGTAAAGTGATTAATCACAGTGAGTGGATGAAGCATTTCAATTAAATATTAGAAAAAGAACATGTAATGAATGAAATATCTCACCATTTGCATCCTTGGCCATTAGATTCTTTGCTTTCATAACAGAAACTCTCAAGGAAAAATTAGCTCTCTGTGGAAAAAGAATTTCATGCCTGTTTAGTTTAAAACACCTGAGTATATTTCAAGGATGATGGGCATGAATTTTAAAAAACAATAACTTCCTATTTCCTGATAAACTTCAAGTAAAAAGTCAGTAAAACTCAGGCAACCTCTATTTCAAAACACTTCAAAGTTCTTTACGTGGATATTAAAAAGTGCAAAGTGGCAGTCAAGTAAATAGCCAAAAACCCCCAAAAAACATGCTGTACAAAATGTAGCTTTTACTGGTTACTGTCACGGTTCTGGGTCTTTCTGACCCAGCTTTTTGAGTTCTTGTGTTTTTTATATTATGGTTCATGTTTTGAGTCCTTTGTTGTACTGTTTCTTATTTCCCTAGGTTTCAGTTATGGTTATCATAGGTTTAGTTCTTAGGTTTTGTAATATGGCTTCCCTGCTTCCATGTTGTGTCTACTGTGACTTTTTGTACCATGTTTCAGGTTCCTATGTTCCGTCTCCCCAGTTGCTGTTAAGTTGTCTAGAGTTCAGTCAGTGTGTTTCCTGTTTTACTTTGAAGGTCCGTGTATCATGTCAGTGTTTCTAGTTTTTCTTCCCTTGTCTCATCCAGCATGACTGCTCCCAGCTGTGCTCTCCTTCTGTCTCTCATTCCCTCGTTATCCCTCAGTGTATTTAAGCCCTGTGTTTCTCTTTGTCAGTGTTGTGTTGTAGAGTCCCTCATAGCTGTGTGATGGTCCCTGTGGCTCCTTGTGCTTTAGGTTTTTTAGTTTAGTTTAGTTTAGTTTAGTTTAGTTTAGTATTGTTTTTTTGTGTCCCCTTACACCAGCAATAAAGCTGTGTTTTTGAGTTTACCTTTGTCTCTGCGAGTTTGCGTTTGGGTCCTTCTCTTGCCTGCACACAGCCGTATTGTGACAGAAGACTACGACCAGACAATGGACCCAGCAGCTCACAATCCCTCCGCTGAGCTCCAGGAGGACATGATTTACGTGGTGGAGTTTCTATGTCAGGAGTGGTTTGCCCTGCCTTTTAAGGAATACCAGGAGGAGCTAGCTATTCGGTTACAGAGAATGGTTTCTGGACTTCCCTGGCTATTTGGCGCACTACACCCACTCATTCAAGACTTCCTTGTTTCCATCGTACGCGTCCACCCTGAGCAGCCGCTCCTGTGTGAAGAGCTGGAGGATTTTCAGCCAAGAACGCTGGAGGATTCGCGGGCCGACCCGTCTCCTCCCTCTTCCAGGAGAAGGCAGTGTTCACGCCGCCGTCCCTCCACGGCAGCTGAGCAGATGACTTTCGTGAGTGAAAATGACTGTTTGCCACATTCTCCACATTCTGGTACCAGACTTACTGCCATTTCATCCATGGCTAATCACGCTCCTTCTAAGAACACTTTGGTTTTTCAACCGACTCCTCTGAACCTCGATAATCCTGCTTCTGTGTCTGAGACTCCCAGTGTTGCTCCGCCAGTACCTCACCGTATTTTTTTCTGTGCCTCAGTTGGAAAATGTGACTAGCAACAGAGTACCATCTGCCTTATTAAAACTGGCTAGCTTGGACTCAGTGCCTCAGAACCATTGAATCAAGTTGAGTTTTGTGTTTCAGAACCATTTCACCTTGACCCAGCTCACCATGCTGTTGTGTCCACCGTTAGAGTGGCTTTACCCCCGGACGGTGCTACTCACCAGCCCATTTACACAGAAACTGTCAGTGCTCCTGACAATGCTCCTGAGCTCCAGTCCCTGCACCCAGGGCAGCTCGGGCCCAACTTTCCCCTGCACTTGTACCAGTCCCTCAGGTGAGGGAGGCTGAGGTCCAGCTGGTCCCTGCTCTGGTTTCCAGGCTGGCTGAGGCTCTGCCAGTCCCTGCACCTGTACCAGCTCCTCGGGTGGGGACAGCAGCTGCCCAGCTGTCGCCGGTACCTGTCCCGGCTCCCAGGGTGAGGCCAGCCAGGACACAGCCTACCTCTGCACCCGTACCTACTCCTCGGGTGGGTGGGCTCATGTCTGGCAGGTGCCTGCACCCATTCCTCTGTCCGCTGGAGGCTCAGGCAAGCCTATCCAGCCCCTGTCCTTGTGTTCTGGAGGCTCAGAGTTAAGTCAGCAACCACTACCACAGTCACTACAACCTCTCATTTTTTCCATAGTTCAGTCTGTTGCTCAGTTATTATCTCAGTCATTTGTTCCGTCATCAGTTTTGCCTCCAGGTCAGGCTTCAGTTTTGTCACCTATACCCCTTTCATTAGCCCAAACATCTGCACAGCCAACTGCTCAACAGTCTGTTCAGCACTCCGTGGCTCCCACGTCGCTGCATGTTCCAGCTGGAGGGCTCGGGCCCGTCCAGCCTCGTGCCACGTCAGCTGGGGGTTCTGGAGCACCCACCCAGCATCTCTCCGTGTCTGCTGACATCTCTGAGTCCGTTCAGCCACCACCTGCTCCACCACCTGTGGCTTCCATGCCGCCGCTTGCAGCGCCGCCATCTGCTCCTTTGCACGCAGCTGGACCTGCCTCGTCTGGTCCTGCCTCGTCTGGTCCTGCTATTGCCACGCCACCACCTCGTCCATGCCTAGCACAGCTGGCTTTTCCACGGTCATCTCCTCGACATCACCGGCCACTTTCCAGGCCTCTGGCTGGGCGTCATGGCCATTGTGGGCGGCCCCCGGACCTGCTCCATCGCCGCCACTGCCGTCCGCACGGCTGGCCCCCTGAACCGTTTGATCATGAACTCCTGTGCCGCCGGCCTCTAATGAACTATGGATTTCTGGACCATCACCCTCCGGGTCGGCCCCTTGAAGGGTTATGAACTGTTCCTTGCATTCCTGTGCCTTTGATGGACACATCAAACACACATTTTGGACACATTTTTGTTTTTGTTCTTGGTTTCTGCACCTCCTGCGGGGGCATGGCTGACTTTTTTCAAGAATTTTTTTTTTCTACAATGTTTCACTTTAACTTAGGGATATCGTGAAAGGCTCACCCGAAAAAAGAATATTTGATATAAGTCACATAATACTACAGCTGAATTCTGCCTGTCCTATAACAGAAGACACAAAATTTGCTTGAACACCACAAACAAATCTCACCTTGGATTCTTGAACTTTTTGGAGAATGATTTCATGTTCTTCCTCACCCATATCAAAAACCTTTAAGGAGGAGAGTGTCAGTCAAAAAAGACCTTTTAACCATATCTGACTTAGAGTTTCTTGGTAGCAAGATTAAAACCTACAAAATAGATAACAGAGTTACTGCTTAAATCTAACAAATCATCTCAGAAATATAAAAAACATAATTCGGTCAAAGTCCCTGGCAGAAGCTAACCTTCTGTTAAAACAAGAAAGCCAGAAAAAGATGCCCACTTCAGAAAAAAACAAAAGGAGACTACGATTCATAGCATGACATCATCTGAATGAATGTAATATAACAGCTGAATATCAGTACACAGTGTGACTGGGCTTTGATGTTTAATCAGTTTTGAGCCAAGAGCATCTGCTCTGATTCTTACAGCCCGCTCACAACAAATAACGCTCTCTCTGAGGCTACCATCAGTGTTACTGACAGAGATTTAATGAAGCTCAAGAAATACAGTCTGCTCTTCTCATGTGTCCACGAGACAGAGAAAAAGACGGATGGACGGACGGACAGACAGACAGACAAATAGATACCTTCAGCAGGTAAGCAAATAGCTCATCGTCACTTTTCACATGTTCGGGTGAGGGCACTCCAACCCTGTTGACCACCGTGTACACAGCTTCCTCATAAAGCAGGTCCAGCTACATGAAAACACACTCCAGTTAATAACAACCTTTCAAAAATAAAAAGCTCGTGTTCTTTTGCCCTTATGCGTTCTGCTCCACTGCACATCAAAAGCAGGAATAAAAAGCCTCAACTGTGTTGTTATTGTGAGTTTTGAGATTTAATCCCTGCTGAAATAAGATGAAAACAGAGAAGCTGAGCTCACGCACCTCTGTCCTGCTGATTCTGTCGGGGATAAAGGCCTGGTCCACATGCTCTTGGGGTGGTGGAACTGTGCAGGCCCCACTTTGGCACTGCGAGAGGACAAAACCAGTTCAGCCAAAATAAAATTGGCCTTGGATAAAGGCTGTGTTGAGAGGAAGAACTTATAAGACACATGTTTGGCTTTTTTTTGTTTGTTTTTTCAACCTAAAAAAATCTTCCAGTGGTAGGAGAAGTACAACGCCCATTTATTTGGGTAATAGCATCAATACAACAATATAAAAATAATAATCTTTTTGAACTAAAAACACAAAAGCAAAAATTACAATCTAAGACGCCTCACTGAAAACTGAGGAAATTTCATGGAAATTATCTTCAAGACACATATCTGATTAAAAAATCCCTACTGTGTCACAAATTTCAAATGATTTGCAGTTTTTCCATGAATGCACAACTCATCCTAAGAGCTGCTCTCTTTTGCGAAAAAGAATAAAAAACGAAATAATTTAACAGGATCTGCAGGTAATTGGTGTCAAAAAATCATAAAAACTGAAGGGTAGTCAAATGTCTTTGTTCTCCAAAAAGAACATTACAGCAAACCTGCCACTGAACACAAGGATAAAAACCGTGCCTAAAAGAATGTGCTCTTGATGATGGATCAAAGTCATTGGCCAACAAATATTTGTACAATATTTGTTTGTTGTTGACCAATGACAGCTATGAAAAGAACCTTATAAAGGCATGGTCTTGTCCCCATACCCTCAGGAGCCAGTCAGGTTGTAGTTATTGATTCAGCAATGTATTCTGCACAACATCAAAAAGTGCTGAAAGACAACATGATCACAACCAAACCGAAAGTTGACACGGAACTCAAGTTGAACTTCCACTGACGACTGGTTCAAGAATGGAGAAATGGTCAATAGTTATGGACGGGTTTACAAGGGATAACTCGTAAATCAGTGCCAACATCAATGTCCAAACTCTTCTGTGCTCCTGGAAAAATGGTCAAAAACTTCTATAAACAAACTCCTAAACCTTGTGGAAAGGAATGGGCTGAAATCGGATTAGACCCAATGTATTAAGAATGGGATGTCACTCAATTTCATTTGCATGGAAAGCCCTCTGTAAAGCCCTTTGACTTACCTTGTGTTTGAATAGCACTATACAAATTAATCTGACTCAACTTGATCCCTCTGGTGGAATAGAAATTCAGAGTTCAATTGTTTTTCTATCTTGCACAGACAAACAAAATAAATAAATAAGCGTAAATTTAGCCACCGACGGATAGGGGAAAAACAAAACAAACAAACAAACAAAAAAATCATGTTTCCAGAAGACAATATGATAAATGGCATGCTGAGTGAATATACCTTCTGTTTTGATCACAGTCAGCAGTTTGCTTTGGGCTTATTGGCTATTTTGCTGACAGCGATACAGCAATTTGGAAATGAAATCATCAAGCATTTGCTACAAATTTTTACAAAGCATCACTGTCTAGCTTTGGCAGTAGGAGAAACTGAACACAGCCTCGACAGCAGTTTGTCACAGCCGAGTTTCCAGCCCTTTGAGCGCCCTGCTTGACCTAGTCCGTCTGTCCATAGACGTCAGAGTGGTCATGGTGGTGGGCTGAAAGACAGCGCAGAGATCTATACTCGCTACACATGCTGTACATGTTTCAAGCCTGTAACAGACAGAAATGCGGAGGTTAGGTGGGGGTTACCTCCGCCTGGGCCGCCCGCATCATGTTCTCCTGTTTCTGCAGGATGGCATTCATACGCTCAAAGAACTCCACGCTCTCCTCTGAAATCCTGCCAAGTAGACGGAACACATTGAAAATCGATTATCTCTAAAGATAGAGAGGGAAAATAAAAAAGTGAGTTGAAATGCATGTTGTACTCTGTTATACACCCACACAATCTGATCAACCTAAATTATTTATGGATGGTAATTACAGCAGGATTCAGTGACATTTGTGGGATCACACAGCATCCTGTTTGCAGACACTTTGAAGAAGCATCTGTCAATAAAGAGGATCTTTTTCTTTTAATGTTGAACTACTGGACTCCATCGCCTACCGCTCAGCTTTTTATTACTTATCAAACACCCTCTTGTCTCAAGCTTAAAAAAAGAAAAAGTCAGCATGTCTGCACCCTGCATGAACCATGTTAATCTGCTATGAGCCGGGCTGTGTGCAAAATGCAAATGATGTTTCTGTTTCCTCCAGGTGTGAGTGAATCCCCGGACTCCCGCCAGCCCCAGTTGTCATGGTGATTCCGGCACATTCACTGAGCTGGCTGAACACCTTGGGAATCCCCACCACCACCACCACCACCACTTACACCCCATCTCTCCCAGTATCGTCCAAATCTCTCTAGGGGGAATCTTCCCCTCAGCCTTTATGGAATTCACAGACACCGGCAGCCACTCTTATGTGAGCTGTAGCGGAACCATCAGGATCAGCCATGCCGTCTGCCTTTAACTTCTCACCTCCACCACCTAACCCTACCACCACATCTACCTCTTTTCTTATCCTGGCATACTTTAAAAGAACTGTCCACAGAGGCCCTGACACACTCCTTTATTAGCATCCCAGCATCCCACATCCCAGCACTTACTGAATATCACAGTGGTGGGGCAGCAGATGGTAAACCCATGAGGTTTTTAATGGATACTAATTGCTGCCATGCTGGGTGAGTTGGTGAAGTTTCCACTGGGGTGAGGCCCAGTTGAACTGGAAAAGTGAAAGTTTCCTTGGGTAAACTTTTATAATCATATCAGAGTCACTAAAACATTCATTTTAACATAACACTCATGCATGGCTATAACTATACCACATAGTGTTTTTTTATGGGTTTATAATTGTGAACAGGGATAAAGAGAAAAACACTGCATTGCAATGGTATTTGATTTATCTTTGAGTGTCATGCCTTTGGTATACCCCCCCAAAAAAAAGAAAAAAAAGAAAAGTGAGGTGTACAGCTTGACAGTGAGGTCAGTCCTCCCAATATCAGTGTCTAATGTTAGGCCTTCAGTGGTTGTTTTTTTTTTAATCTACAGCCAAGAAACCATTTTACCAAAGCAGTTTATTGGCATGATGCCATTTCATCTGACTCTGTTTGTAAAATTGATGGAGTTAGAAATCTTTTTTGTAGGTAAGTGACAGCTTATAGATATTTGGAGGGAATAAATCATGTATGAATATTTTCTAAAGAGTATTTTCTTCATTGCAGTTTCAACCCATAAAAAGTCGACAACTCATTTCAGGTGACTGAGCCATTGCAGCCTTACTGGTCATTATGGCAGGATTCACATGGCTGTATTTCAGGCTTCAGTGTTCTCACTTCTTGTCACTTTGAGTTGGTGATGTCATGCATTGCTGAAATGAATTTCTCTTTTCTTACACTACACGTGGCGAAAGTCAAGAGAAATTCAACTTCTGAAGTGCCAGCATGGCTGTTAGTCAATTAAATTTTTTATGCAAATATCCTGAGAGCATGAATTGGCCCGTCTGTTTATTTTTTATAGGAGTAATTGATCATTGCAGTGAATAATCAAGCTGCTGGATATAAACAAAGTTAGTAACAAGCATTAGCTAGCTTGGCTAATGCTAACATTAGTCAAAGCCCTGCTAGCTAGTCTTTTGATGACTGGTTATAGTTGCTATTACAATTGCCCTAGTAAAGATATCCTGACCTCAAAATTCTGGAAAGCCTGAATCCTCTGTGAATCTTGCCTTAGTGATTTGATCCCCAACTAATCTAATCTGAAGTTTCTTTGGGTCAGATACTAAATCCCAAATTTCCCTCAACACATCCCCAAAATAAAAATAAAACTTTTAAAAAACCCCAACATTTTTGAATATGTTTGGAACTTGTTGAATGTCCATTAGTCAGTAAGACTAGCTAAGCATTATTTAATGTTTGCTCAATAAAAAATTCGACACTCAAACTTGCTTCAGGATTTCTTGCCTATTCCCATCAAAAATCCCAAAACAAATGGTATCTTCTTTTGTCTAAGTGACATTTCAACAACAACAACAAAAAAAATCCAGCAATTACCTGATAACCAGGACAGCTGCTAAATTTGCTCTACATTAAAACAGTTCTGAATAAAACCCATAGCTATACTTTTCAACCACCCTCCTGCATTATACAGAAAATAAAACCACAGCTGTTTTTCGTAAGTAAACCTCCTCAGACAGCATTTGAAAGAAACCCCCAAATCGAGTCTGTCAAAGACAAAGCCTGTTCCACTAACAAGGGATTGGGAGCTTTGTTTCACGGAGCTTCAGTTTTCATTTGCACAAATAGTACAAATAAGCTTCATTCCACACTAAGACTTGTGTTTAGAGACACTCGGTTCTCTCCACATCCGGGTTGAATTGCCCAGAGTATTTTTGTATCCAGAAATCTGTCCCATCTTTTGTCAGTCAGCTTGAGGATTTGTCCAAACAGTCTGGGATACTTTTTTTTTCTTTCTGGGGGCTTGGGACAACATGTTCATGGGAAGCAGTACAGCACAAATGATGCAAATCAAGTCCATTTTAACATGATACATCAAAAAGATATATTAAAGATGTATTAAGTTAAATCGTTCTCTCCATCTCTCATCCACACACACAAACACACACACACACACACATACACGCACGCTACCAGAATAACAAACTGATTTGATGTTGCTAGGAAACAGGTCCCTTTTTTTAAAACCTCATTTTATTGTAATTTATTTTCCGAATTCATTCAAATGCTTCAATTATGATTTCCTGTCTGGAGAGTAAATCAGAAGGAAAACAAATAAAAACAAGAATGTCTTCTGTCTAAAAGAATATCTCAGAATAAACCTGAACTGACTGAGAGTGCGAAGATGACAGAAGCCCTTCACTTCAAACCCCAATACATGATGGCAGTGCATACATAGTAATTAATATTGCCGACATCGCTGTCATCTGCGTCATCTTCTAGTAAAGTTAAATGTTGTTTTATTTATTTATTTATTTTTAATCTAATTCCTTATGGATGTCAATCCATAATATAAGCCTGTGGCTCCAATCATAAACTGAGATCTCTATGACAAGGAACCCCTCAAAACAACACAGAAGACTGTTTGTTATACTCTAATTACACATTTGATTAAGCAGCAAAACATTACAGGTGGAAGGCTTCAGCGCGGAGATAAAATCACAAAAGCTCTGATTGAATCTTTCCATTCAATACCGTGGAAGAATCTGCAGTCGCTCATGCAGCCAGTGGTACTGACAGACATAAAAGTAGCCTGGTGTGAAATTATTTCCAACTCAAGACTTCTTGGTTGCTTCCCAGTTGCGTTTCACAGTTTTTACTTTCTCATTCCGTGGGTCAGTGGCTGACTGTGGATCTGACATATTTTAAAACAGACCACTGTCAGGTTTAAAGTAAAGGTTTGGCATGCCTTCTGAAAACAAAAGCAGTGTCAACAAGAAATCTGACACAAAGACACAATTAAAGGATTGCTGAGGTAAAAGACAATTCTCCTGGATACTTTGAGTAAATGGCTATTCCTTCCTTCAACTTTTTCCCCACTTATCACATACTGTTTTCACAATTTTAAGTAAGATGTGCCCCCTCAGAGCTCTTTGAGCATGCACAATCTTATTCTTCTTTTGACGGCTCGCTTTAGGGGTCATTACAGCGGATCATTTGCCTTCATCTAACTATGTCTTAGTATCCTCTTCTGTCACACTAACTCTCTGCTTGTCTTGCTTCATTACATCCACAAATCTTCTAGGGTGGTCTTTCTCTTTTCTCCTGTCTGGCAGCTCTATATTTAACATCATTTGCCCAGTATATCCACTATGCTTCCACTGTATGTCCAAACCATCTCAGAATTTTATCGTCACTTTTGTCTCTGAATGTCTCAACTTCAGCTTTCCCTCTGATATACTTGTTCATAATTCTATCCATTCTCGTCACCCAAATGACAATCTTAGCATCTGCATCTCTGCCACGTCCTGCTCTGCGTCATGTCTTCTTGTTAGTGCTAGTGTCCCCAGGCCATGCATCACAGCATGTCTCATTACCATGAAGAATAGCGCATCACTATAACATTTCAAATGTTGTAAAAATGTGTGGGACCACTTTGTTTTTTTACACGTTTATTTTTGTGTTTGATTTGTCTTCTCTGTTGTTATTTGGTTATTTTTAAGGGAAAAAAATGCAATTTAATGCATTTAGGCATGGAGACATGGTTAAGGCTACCGACTGAAGATCAAACCCAAAATTAGCATTGGGATAACAGGTCATTTAATAAATGACTTTGAATGTGACAAGATTGTTGTTGAAGACAGGCTTGTCGGTGTTTTTTTCCCACACCACCATCTCTAGGATTTACAGAGAATGGTCTCCAAAAGGGAAAATATCTACTGGTCCGCAGTGAAAGAGAAAATGCCTTGTTGATGCCAGAGTTCAGAGAAGAATGGCCAGTCTGCTTTGGATAGCCAATATTAACTCAAACATAATGTTGAATCTGGAAGCAGATGGGCTATAGTGGCAGAAGACCACACTGTGTCACTCCTATCAGCTAGGAACAAGAAGGTGAGGCTGACATTCAAAAGTGGACAAAAGAACTTTGGAAAAACATGATGTGATCTGATGAGTATCAGAGCAGATCACCCCTTTTATCTTCAAAAATTAAGGATGTTTTGAGGGTAAAAGGGAGTCCAGCCCAGTATTAGCAAGTTTTACCAAATAAAGTGGCCAGTGATGGTATACAACATTAACCAGGAAATCTTTTCACATCTGCAACAAACCCATGATCTCATAAAACTCAC